AATATAAAATATAAAATATTATATATATATAAAATAAATATAATATATATATAGTATATAATAAATATAAAATAAAATATTATATAAAATAAATATATAATATATGTTATATAATAAATATAATATAAAATAAAATATAATATAATATAAAATATAAAATATTATATATATGTATATAATATATAATAAATATAAAATAAATATATAATATATGTTATATAATAAATATAATATAAAATAAAATATAATATACAATAAAATATAATATAATATAAATAATATAATTTAATATAAAATATATATATATATATATATATATATATATATATATATATATATATAGAAAGAATAATTGGGGTTTGAATAATAATTAGGATGAAAAGATTTTTTTTTTCTTTAAATTATGTAATACTAGCAACAATTTACATTTAACACGTTTATAGAATTTATTCACGTTGATAATTATGCTTGAATATCCAATGTATATAATTTATAAGAAGTAAGAATATATAAAAAAAATATATATATATATACGATAAAAGACTGCTTAATATTTTTAGACAAAAATAAAATTTTTTTCTTGACTAGAATGTATAATTATTAGTTAGATTATATTCTTCGTTCAAAGTTATGAAATTAGATTATAATTTGTAGATAAAAAATATCATGATCAATAATTTGTAGTTACATGTATTATGTATACATATTTCAAATAGGATTTATTTTTTGTTGGAAATAAGAAAAAAAAAAAAATCCATGAAGAATCAAAACTTATCATTTACAAATGAATGTACATTGTATCATAAATTGACTTTGTTTTTTATTAACATAAAATAAAAAAGATTACTGACGTAAATTCAAATGCAATATTCTTTTATGGAAATAAAAAAAAAAGCTTACTATAAAAAATGAACATCATTCTATCCGATAAGATTAATATTCTAATGACGACAATAATCTTCTAATCTTCTATTGGATAATCTCACAAGTTTTTTTTTAATTCTTCTTCAATAAGTTTTACAGGGTAGACAATTGTTTTTTTTTTTATATCATTTTATTGAATATAATAAATATGATTTATTCTATAGAATTATAGAATAGAATGTATAGCATATAATATAGTAAAATAATATTATAA